AAACAGCAATTCCACTCTGGAGAATCTATTCTATAGACCTAAAAGCACTAGTACATAAGAATATGTACCTGAGGATATTCACTGAAACATTGTGGTGGCAAAAAATGAAACCAGAAGCAACACAAATATCTATCCAACAGTGTATATTTAAACAAATGGGGTACACACACATTATGAAACACTATGCAGTTGTTTTAGACATCTCATGGGTATCATCTCACATCCTCTCAGTCCACATTTTACTCCAGCTGTTGCTGTAGCAACCAGCTGCTTGTGGGTATAATTGACAGCACGGGCTTCAGCTACATCACATATTTCTTGCTTTATGCCCAGAGACTTGTTGTTAATACTGGGGACATTTGTAGGTAGAAACTCAACTCCTCTAACACATATGTAAACCTGATATTGTGTAGGGCATGAAACAGACCTTGATCACTTGTGAGTGGGAGCCTGTATCTAAATAGTTCCTGTCTGTTGGGCAGACAACTCTGCAGTGCATTTTATACAACTCAAAAACCCCAGTTTCCCCTACCTCTGACCAGCTGGGTGGTCAGTAGTTTCCCTTCACCCCTGCATCACTCTTCTCAGTCCTCTAGTACTGCTCCTTGGGATCATTTTCTAGAATAAACTGCCTGCCAGCAAGCCTTTGTCTCAGGTTTTTATGGGGTAACCTAGGATATGACGGTAGCTATTCCAAATGTGAAAAATATATCTGTTGATCTGTAGGGCTATCCATAGTGGATCTATAATTAAATGAAGAAAAATAAGTTACAGATTAATATTGGCTATATAATTTATAACACCAAGGAACTTTAAAAATGTGTGTGTGTATGTGTATGTGTGTTGGGTGGGCATTTCTGTAACCTTGGAGGAATATTAAAGAATGCACATAAAGTTATTGACATTAGTCTCCTCAGGGAGGTAGAAAGAAATTAATAGCTTTCTAAAATAATTTTTTCACTGTTTCACTGGTTACAGTGAGCACGTTAATTTCACAGTTTAAAATACTTTGAAAAGATATATGATGTTTGAAATTAAAATCAAGTCAACATCCCAGGAAAAAGGACTTCCAGTCAGATGCTCAGGAAGAAAATGAATGTACTACTGAATTGAAGCTAAACTATAAACTCTCTCATATGCCTTTTTATTAACATTGTACAAGAAAGTAATTTCTTGCTTAAGTCTGCCTTTGTAAAACAAATGCTAAAACTGTCCTCACAAAAATAGCCTACCACCTGTGACTGAGGTCTGTTCCAAAGATCACTGAATGAAGAATGAGCTTCTCAATTAGGACTCGAGACGATTAATAGATAATCAGGTCTAAGACCAGTCCACTCCTGCAGCATTTCCACAGGTGTGTGCCGAATGGGACTCTGTTGCAGAATGAGTACAACTACTCTCAGCAGAGAGCCAGATTGAAAAAGGGATGCTCTCATAGAAGGAAATTTGAAACTGCAGCAATGCTATCATCCATAGTATAAACCTCTTTGAACTCTCATAAAGAAGCAAAGAGTAAGATGCCCTACAAGATCTGATAAAAAGTTTAGATCTCATCTGAATACATTTCCATTAGCCTCATTTACTTTTATTCCTTTGCAGTTTTTATTATGAATTACTTTAAGGGAAAGAACATTGTATGGCTGTATTTTAAGGAGGATTTTTTTAATATCTCTCAGCAGGCTTATCCATGGATTTAGCATCTGGTCCTACTAGTTAAATGTACATGAGATAAATTTTAAAAAAAGTCATCAAGGTGGCATGTACCAATGCCATCTCACTATTCCAAGTGATCAATTTCAGTTCACAATTGATCATAATGAAAGGACTAATAGTCAAAGGGAGCACATAAACAAGTCTAGTACCTGCTAACACTAACCGATAGAATAAATAAAGGGGAGAGTGATCCAACATGGGAAGTGAGATACTCAGCAGACTCATAGAATGGCAGATGTCCTAAATAGCACTCTGGCCTCAGAATCAGCCCTAAAGGCATTCGGATCTGACTGAAAAGCCCATGAGAGTATTTCAGGCATGGAAAGCCAAGACACTCTGGCAAAAGATCTCTGTGAGTGAGATCCCAGTGGGAAGAACAGGTCTTCAAAGAAGGAGGTACCTTTCTCTGAAGGGAGGAGAGAACCTCCACTTTGACTATGACCTTGTCTAAACAAGATAAGAATCAGAGAACTCAGAGGGCTTTCATAGCCTTGGAAACTCATGACTGGAGCATAGGGAGATTACTGATGCCATAGACAGGAGTGTCAATTGGTAAAGTCAACAACAGGAGTCACTGTGCACTTACTCCTCAAGTAGGATCTCTGTCCTTAATGTGCTGTGCATTGAGATTTAATGCTATAACGAGTACTCAAACAATATATTTCACTTTGTGTTTCTATGGGGGTGCAAACTGTTGAAATCTTTACTTAATGGATACTAAACTGATCCTCTGTAAAAAAAAAAAAAAAAAGAAAGAAAGAAATTATCATCTCCCAACTTGACTCTCACTGGGATTAAACATGACAATAGGTCTGATCTGATTTCATCATGATTTAAAAAAAATCATCTATTATTTTTCACTTTATGTTTCTGTGTGGGAGCAAACTGTTGAAATCCTTACTTAATGTATACTAAGCTGATCTTCTGTATATTAAGATAATCGAAAATGAATCTTGATGTGAATGGAAGGGGAGAGGGAGTGGGAAAGGGGAGGGTTGTGGGTGGGAGGGACGGTATGGGGGGAAAGCCATTGTAATCCATAAATCGTACTTTGGAAATTTATATTCATTAAATAAAAGTTAAAAAAAAAAAAAGATTACCAAAGGGGGGGGGAAGTCTTAAAATCCTTTGAGACAGAAGAACAAAGGAAGCATATTTTAAAAGGCATTCTCTGTCAAGACATGGTCAATTACAGCATATAATTTGAAGCGTATTATAGTATGACTTTAAATAAGGGGTCAAAGCGGCCGGCGCCACGGCTCACTAGGCTAATCCTCTGCTTGCGGCACCAGTACTCCGGGTTCTAGTCCCTGTTGGGGCGCTGGTTCTGTCCCAGTTGTTCCTCTTCCAGTCCAGCTCTCTGCTGTGGCCCAGGATGTCAGTGAGGATGGCCCAAGTGCTTGGTCCCTGCACCCGCATGGGAGACCAAGAGGAAGCACCTGGCTCCTGGCTTTGGATCAGTGCAGTGTGCTGGCTGTAGCGGCCATTTGTGGGGTGAATCAATGGAAGGAAGACCTTTCTTTCTGTCTCTCTCTCTCACTCTCTAACTCTGCCTGTCAAAAAAAATAATAATAAGTTGCAAAGCAAGCAACCCCTGTGATGCAGAAGAAGGTGATTTGCCCACATGATGGTTAGTTATGAGTAAACATGGCTGGACCATGATGTGCACATATTGGGTTCAACATTATTCTAGATGTTTCAATGAGCATGTTTTGGAGTAAGGTAAACCTCTTAATGGGTGGGCTTTGAATAAAGCATGTTGCCCTCTAAAATATGAAATGGGCTTCATTGAATCAAATGAAGGGCTGAACAGAGCATGATTGAGTCCAAACGAGCAGGAAGGAGTTCTCCAGCCTGCCAGCCTAACTGATCATCAGCTTTTGGTCTCCACAAGCCTTCATACTGTGTGAGCTAACTCGTTCAAATAAATCTTTTTATATTTACATATACATCCTTTTGGTCCCGTTTCTCTGGAGACCCTGACTGATGAAACCACAAGGTATTCAAATTCTCTGGAAAGTGAGTATTATCACTAATTCCAATTATAATAGGAAATATTCACTGAGTATCTATTCCAGACAACATTCTACATGCTCTACAGGTTATTTATTCCTCACAATAATGCTAATGAAGTTATTATGCCCATTTAACAGTTTGGAAAACTACAGCACAGAGAGCACGTTGTTCAGTGTTAAACTGCTTAGTAAATAGCAGAGACACTTAGGAAGTCACAGGAGGTATTTCACAGCCCACACTCCTTACCATTAAAATAATCATTGCCAGCAGATAAACAATTATATGCAAAGACATGATCTGAAAGTTAAATTTGATGTTTTTTTTTTTTTTCCTATTGCATTCAAAGCTACCATAATCCCAGCTAGGAATGAGCTTCTTTCCTTGTGTACCTGTCCCTGGACACTCAGCACTGTCAAATTTCTGAGTAGCTTTTTTTCACTGGAACCCACATTTGACATCTGCCTTCCTTTGAAGAGCTGTAATTGTGAATATTTTACTCTTTGCAAGTGGCAGGGGAAGCAGGCAGGTAACTAAGGGGTATCCACAGTCACAGATCTGAGCTCAGTCCTGTCTCTGACATTACTAGAGCTGTGAGCTGTAGGCAGTCACTTAAACTCTCATACTTTCCTTGTTGGTAAGGGGAGCTAATAATATCACACACTCCACTGGATTCTTGTGATGGTTGTGAGAGGTAATGCTAGGGAAAGCACCTATCATTGCACCATACACACAATAAATGCTTGCTACTTTTTGGTCCCCAAATTCCTCAATTCTGAGTCATATTTTCTCTGGGCCCCATTCTTCAACACATCATTCTGACAGGTTTAGCCCCAAAATGAACACTTTACCTAGAAGGAAACATATCTTCATTTCAGGAACTTTCTGAAAACAAAGTGCATTCTTCAATGGTATGACCCTACACACTGGTATGTAATAGACCTTTTTTTTAAAAAAAATTTATATTTGTTTATTTGAGAGGCAGAACTATAGACAGAGGGAGAGACTCAGAGAAGGGAGCTCCATCCACTGGTTTAATTTCCCAAATAGCTGCAACAACTGGAGCTGGGCTAATCCGAAGTCAGGAGCCAGGAGCCTCCTCTGGGTTTCCCACGTTGCTGTAGGGGCCCAAGCACCTGGGACATCCTCTACTGCCTCCTCAGACCATAGCAGAGAATTGGATCTGAAGAGAAGCAACTGGGACCTGAACCGGTGCCCAAATGGGATGCTGGCACTGCAGGTCACCTGCTATGCCACAGTGCCGGCTCCTAGAATAGACTTTCTTTTGCTTACCATTCCAAAGAGTTCATCTCATGGGAGACATACCTGGCAAAGTATAACAGCAAACTCAGAACATGCAGTTCACACTGTGGGAATAAAATAAAAGGTATGCAATTGGACATGTCAATTTAGGTGTCACTTCAAGCCCAATTTGTATAAAATTTTTTCATAATTTTTTCATCTGTCAATGACACTATTACTTTCCCAATGATAGAAGTTAGAAACTCAGATGGGGTCAGGCATTTGGCAAGAGCTTTAGACATTGCTTGAGATGCCTGTATTCTGTATTGGAATGCCTGGGTTGGAGTCCCTGCTCTGCTTCCGATTCCAGCTTCCTGTTAATACATACTCTGAGAGGCAACAGATGATGGCTTGGGTACTTTGATCACTGCCAACCACATGGAAGACCTGAATTGCATTTCCAGTTTCATAGTGGCCCAGCCCCACTATTCCAGGCATTCAAAGTCACTGAAGCAGATCTCTCTCTCTCTCTAATACATACATTTTTAAAAGAAACTCAGATTGGGGACAGCGTTGTGATATAGTGGATAAAACTACTTCCTGTGATGTTGGCATCCTGCATGGGTGCTGGTTTAAGACCTGGTTGCTCCACTTTCAGTCCAGATCTCTGCTAATGCACCTGGGAAAGCAACAGAAGATGGCCCAAGTACTTGGGTCCCTGTACCCATGTGGGATACCCAGATGAAGCATCTGACTCCTGGTTCTTCTGTGCCCAGTTCTGGCCTTTGTGGCCATTTGAAGACTGAACCAGTACATGGAAAATCTCTCTCTGTCTCTCCATTTCTCTCTGTATCTCTGCCCTTCAAAAAATTAAATAAATATTTTAAAAAATTATTTTAACCTCATTATGTCAGGTATCCATGCATAATCTCTCCGTGCTGCTTTGGTGACTAAGATCCGATTTTTTAGATTAGCATTCTAGCTTCTTTACAATCTGAGTACAAGCTACTTATCTCATTTTTCCTCTAACTTTGCCCTTTCTCCCACTTTATACTTCAGAGAGTCACTGTCTTGAGCATGTCTTCTTATAGTCCTGCCTCTAAATTCAGTGCATCAAATCCTTCTTTCATAACACCCACACTAATCTCTGTCAACCATTTAATATTGCCAGAATTCCTCTGGGACTTTTTAAGTTGATATTTACTTCTTTACATATATTTCTTGTTACCCCAGGAATTATATACTCTAATTTCCCTTTATCTGCCACAGTATCTGACCCAATGCTTTGTACCATAACTAAATTATTGTCTAAAGAATTAATTTACAGGTCACATTAGTAGGAAAAAGCTTATATCATGTGTCTTCTCCCCAACTCCCAGCTTTCAGCAAAAGTATCCCATTATAAGGTCTCCAACACTTTATACTTTGGAAAATTACTTCCCAAAAAAGTAGGTAAAAGATACACTCACACAATAAAAGCTTGATTATACTCCACAGGGAATGCACCTCAGATTTTTAGTTTTGAGTGTTTTAATGAGCACTATCAACAAAAACCTCTTAACCCCTTGGCCTATGTGTGGTGTTAAGCATTTAGTTAGAAATAATAGCTCTTTAAGGACAGAGGGAACACAAAATAATTTATTTTTCAAGAGCATAAAAAACAGAGATGCACCAGGGAAGTTTATAAGCCATTGCCAAACTTTCTGAAAACATGTATAAATTGTCACTTTTGTAACAATAAATCTTAATAGACTGGTCCTTCTGAGAAAAATACAGTGGACAGACTTGCAGCAAGCAAAATACATACCATAAAAAAGAATTCCCAAGTTCTATAAAACAGCTACAATGCTCAAATAAAGCACACTGGAAAATCTTGAGGTGTTTCCCTTGGAGAAGGTCTCACATCTGCATTCAGAAGCTTTTACCATCCTCATTGTCCACTCTTCCTTCATGCTTGTCTAAAAATCTGAGTGATTCAAAATGTGAAATTGGCATTCAAGGTCCCAAGTTTACAACTTTTGTGACCTGGAGCAAGATACTCAACTTTTCAAAGCTTTAACTTTCTCTTGTATAAAATGAGAGTAATCAGAGACTAACATTGTGGAGCAATGGGTTAAGCTACCTCCTGCAACACTGGCATCCTCTAACAGAGCAACGCTTCGAGTCCTGGCTGCTGTGCTTCCAATCCAGCTACTTGGTAAGGTGCCTAGGAAAACAGAGGGAGATAGCTCAGGTAGTTAGGCCTCTGCTACCCATGTGGGAGACCCACATGGAGTTTCGGGTTCCTGGCTTCGGCTTGGCCCAACCCTTTTGGGGAATGAACTAGCAGATGGGAGATAACTCTCTCTCTCTCTCTCTCTCTCTCTTTCTCTCTTTCTCTCTTTCTCTCTCTCCCTTTAAAATAAATAAAATGTGGATCCGGCTGAAATGCCCATGAGAGTATTTCAGGCATGGAAAGCCAAGACACTCTGGGGGAAAAAAGAAAAACCTAAATGAAAGATCTCCATGAGTGAGATCCCAGTGGAAAGAATGGGTCATCAAAGAAAGAGGTACCTTTCTCTGAACGGAGGAGAGAACTTCCACTTTGACCATGGCCTTGTCTAAATATGATCAGAGTCAGTGAACTCAGGGGGCTTCCATAGCCTTGGCAGCTCATGACAAGAGCCTAGGGTGATTACTGAGGCCATAAACAAGAGTGTCAATTTGTTAAGTCAACAGCAAGAGTCACTGTGCACTTACTCCTCATGTAGGATCTTTGTCCTTAGTGTCCTGTACATTGAGATTTAATGCTATAACTAGTACTCAAACAGTATTTTTCACTTTATGTTTCTGTGTGGGAGCAAATTGTTGAAATCTTTACTTAATGTATGCTAAACTGATCTTCTGTATATAAAGGGAATCGAAAATGAATCTTGATGTGAATGGAAGGGGAGAGGGAGTGGATAAGGGGAGGGTTGTGGGTGGGAGGGACGTTATGGGGGGAAGCCATTGTAATCCATATTCTGTACTTTGGAAATTTATATTCATTAAATAAAAGTTAAAAAAATAAATAAATAAATAAAATGAGAGTAATGATAGCATCTGCCTTAAAGGCTTCCTGTGAAGATTAAGTGAAAGACTGCAAACAGAACACAGAACGTGGCACTTGCTCCACACCTTCATGTAGACAATATTGGTCATCATTGTCATGATACAACACATTATAGAAGGAAAAAGCAAAATATTTTCCAAGAAGTAATGACAGCTAGTGCGAAGCCAAGATTCTGTTAGAATTCACCTGACACGGAACTCAAAACAGCTATAAGGCTTAAAAAATAAAGAGAATTGTGAAATTTCCAATGTGAATCATGGTATAAGTTTTCAGGCAACTTCCTTTACCATCAATTCTACCCTCTAATAAAAAATGGAAAGACAGAACATGTTGAAAAACAATCAGACATTCCTCAGGCTATGTTTCATTATAAATTGCTTTGTTTAATGCATAAATATTATAAATTAGAGTCCCAACTTCACAGAACCCTTTATAGCATTATTGTTCAATGATGTTGAACCTAATCCAAAGATTTTTAGTTACACAAAGTCCCAGGACTTCATTAAAATGTGGTAACAAATACTATATGTCTTTAGCTCACTGTCCAATCTCCTTTCCTTTTCACCCAAATTTGTAAAATTAATCATATGACCTCCTATTTGTACTTCCTCACCTTCCATTTACTCACCCTACTTCTTCCTGTCCCACCCCACTGACATTTGTGACTTAATATTTAGAATAATTTATGGCCAGATACAATCAGGTAGCATTCTAAGTAAGCCAAATATAGTATATGATCATAGACTCAATTATTTTATTAATTGAAAATTTATTACAGAATTTGTCTTCTAAATACTGTGTTTAACAAATAAGGAAACCAAGACATAGAGAATTTAGTGCCTAATAATATTCTTTAATATAAATCATCCCCCCCTCAAATGTAATTAAAAAGGTGGAATCAAAGAAGAATGACCAATATGACGTGTCTTCAACAGCTTCTTAGCAGAGCAGAATAAGCCAAGGATAATATGATAATTTTGAAGACATAACAAAATTCTTATGACATATATATCTAGTTTTCTTCTTAAATTGTATAATGATGACCACATTACTTATATTTCCTCGCTCTCCCATCATGCTTAACCTTAGCTTATGGAGTTTCCATTCAACTGTGGTTCTCACGACTCAGAGTCTGAAGAGTTTTGATAATGGCAAATCATACATGAACAGCATAGATTCTATCAACATATCTAGGATGAAGCCTGTGGTTTAAAAATTAGATTGAATTTTGAATTCACAGGCATTCACTAACCACAGCTTTCTTCTAATCACCACCATATCTCCTTATCTATATATATGGCTCTATTAAAAAAGAAGAATAGCAACAATAAAAGTATTATATGTTTTTATAACATTACACATAATGATGATTAACTTTATTGATTACTGTTATGTACCAGGCTCTGTTCTACCAGACTCTAAAAGATAGCTGCATTAGCATCCTATTCATAGAAATAAAACTGAAGTGAAGAAACTTAAGTAAAATAGCCCACGTTCACAAGCTAGCATCCAAATCCAAGGACTCTAGCTACAGATCCTATGTGTTTAATCTTTATAGTCTCAATCTTTGCATTTTTAACCACTAGATTCTATAATACTTCATGTAATTCCCCAAGAAAGTCTTTTGAGGTAACTATTTTTAGGCCCACTTAATGAAGGATAAGACTAAGGCTAAAGAAGGTGAAAGCTTAAAAGGCCACAAAACATGACAAGTATGTGGCAGAACCAGAATTATAATCTGTGTCTACCTGATTCCCAAGTGTACACCATGTGAACGACTATGCTTTCAAAGCCTTCGGCATCACCATTCCCTGCTAAGACTAGATTCCAGGTGACCTGGCTCAGCTTTGTGGGGCTGCATCTTGCTCTCCATAATCCCTGGCTCAGAAAGAGACCATCTGGAGCCATGATATGACCACCTACACCACACTGATTGGAGCTATGTTTTGCAAACCCTCCCTGCCTTGCCTCCTCAAACTGAGTTCATCAACCTTGTGCTGGATTCTGGCCATCCTTCTGTTGAGAACCTGGCAGAAAAAAATTTTTAAGGCACATTAATTTCCTCAACCCTGGCCCAGCATCCTTTCCTCTTCCCATTGTTCCATGGCACAGAGATTCTTCTGGTCCAAATGATCCAATATCTACAACCACAGTATATTCTTCATTAAAAATTGTTTTATATGTTGCTAGTAGCAACAATTTTCAGTTATATTTGAGCAGATATTAAAAATGGGATTAAAAATAAATTTATATAGTTGCAAAACATTTTTGAACCCTATCCATAGGTTTTTAATAATATGCATTTTCCATGAACATTTTGAAGATCTTTAGAGTTTATAAACATTTAGGTTTATGAATTGTTTGATATATTTTCATAAATAAAGAAATATAAAGAATGTATAACCAAAATATATTTAGTGATATAAAACATATGTTTGAAACCTATTTAGTCTTAAAAGTTACTGGTTTTAATCTTCATCATAGTGTTAATGCTTTCCCTTGAGATACACATATACATATACAAACACACATTTGGCTGTGCTAAACAGTGGTATTCTTAAACCAAATGGGTGCTCAACTACATTGTTTAACATGGCGTAATGTTTTATCCTTAAGTCATTAAACTGTATTTTGAATTACCTACATGAAATTCAGCAAACTACTCCTGTTGTGCTCATTTTACATGGGTCTGACTTAATGCTTTGAACTGGCCAGTTTATCTCCATTGCTAATGAGCCAATTACCTTTGAAAACAGCACATATCCTTTGGAATATTGTTAAGAATAGCCTACTGAGAATTTGTCTCAAGAGATAACAAATACCTTTAAAATTATTTAATATATGATATTCATGTATACTTGTAAAAAAGATTGCATAGTTATAACATTAAAGATACTTGTTTAAAATTAACTGTCAAGGAATTACGAAGAAGTTGCACTCTAAGCTGCCCTGCAAGAGGAAATGGCCTAACCATAGACCATTGTTCCAACTATGTAACCCTTCTACTAAGACTAGGGGGCCTAGGAGGGCGGTGTTGCTATGACTACAAGACCCTGGGAAGGCGACACAGGGGCTGGGTTGCCCTTCAAAAACTATATAAGTGGACCCTCAAATGCTGTAAAGCAGAGGTTGCTCAGCCTCTCTCCCTGGTCCATAGTGCCTTGTGCCCACAGGAGTTTGGCTGAGCAGTCTCTCCCTCTAGATGCCATAATAAAGGTGTGTACCTGAGCCTTCTCAGTCTCCTTTGTGGAACCCATCATTGGCTTCCTGGCCAGTTTCTGACGATCGGGAAGCCGACAATTAACTGCTACCAAAAGTGAAAAAGAGAGGCTAGAAATCTTAAAATGATGTGTTTGTCTTTGTGTGTACTTCATTTTACTGTGTATCAAATCCCTAATGAAAGGATTTGTTAAGGGAAAAGAAATCAATGCTTTAACATTTAATATATAGTTTTCTTTTATGTGAGCAGATGAAAATGAAAATCAATGAGGGACCGGCCCAGCACTGTGGCGAAGTAGGTAAAGCTGCCGCCTACAGTGCTGACATTCCATATGGGTACCAGTTCGAGAACCAGCTGCTCTACTTCCATTCCAGCTCTCTGCTGTAGCCTGGGAAGGCAGTGGAAGATGGCCCAAGTCTTTGGGCCCCTGCACCCATGTGGGAGACCTGGAAGAAGCTCCTGGCTCCTGGCTTGGGATCGGCACAGCTCCAGCCATTGCGGCCATCTGGGGAGAGAACCAGCAGTTGGAAGACCCCTCTCTCTCTCTCTCTGCCTTTGTCTCTGCCTATGCCTCTCTGTAACTGCCCTTCAAATAAGTTAATAAACATTTAAAAAAATAATTAAGCCTATGGCAATTCTAAAAGTGCTAACTATTGAAAACATCTTTGCAACCAGTATCATTAACGTCTGCAACTCTTCAGAATCTTTCTTTCTTAGATCCTCAGAGCATCTGAGGTTATACACTTTGCCAAAATCATAACTTTTAAGAAGGAGCAATAGTTGCCTATTCACTCCTGCAGAGACATTTTTGGCATAATTATATAATCGTAAGTCAAGATTCTCTTCTTTGAACCAAAATGACCTTTCAGAAGTACAACATTTAACGTTTATCTTTCATACATTTACTGAATTTCATTTTCAGTCACACTTTTAGAAAAAGACTTTAAATTTAGCCAGACAGACATTTTAACAGTACAAATAGGTACCGATTGCATATTTTCCTTAGAAATGAATTGGAGAGGGACCAGCTTTGTGGTTTAGCAGATTAAGCCTCCATTTGCAATGCCAGCATCCAATACGGTCACCAGTTTGAGAACTTGGCTGCACCACTTCTGATCCAGCTCCCTGCTAATACTCCTAGGAAAGCAGGCAGAAAATGGCCCACGTGCTTGGGGCCCTGGGACCACGAGGAAGACTTGAAAGAGGCTCCCAGCTCCTGGCTTCGGCCTGGTGCAGCACCAGTCGTTGCAGCCATTTGGGGAGTGAACTGCAGGACAGAAGATCTTTCTCTCTCTCTCTCCTTCCATCTGTCCTCCTCAGTCTGTAACTCTGCCTTTCAAATAAATAAAAATAAATACATCTTTAAACAAAAAAAGGAAATTAGGTGGAGATAATTATTTAGAAAAACCTCATTTGTCAACTTATGTGGCTTTTACCATAAGTGTATAACAAACTAAGTTTGGCATTTACATCACAACTAAATATCAGAAGAATTCAATGCCTGGAAGAAAAATAATCAATGGGTAAAACCAGGAATTAAGTTTCTACCTACCAGGATAATTATTGTGAGTTATGCTTTACACTCTGAGTAGGCTCAAGAGTAAAGCACAAGGTATTTCCTAAGCCTTGGAGCAGAAGCAAACAATGGAAATAGCCTGAGCTCTAGAAATGGACAATCCTATACCTGATTACTGTTTCTTCTTTTTATCCATGTGAGTAGCGTTGGATAAATTGCCTGTGCTGCCTGAGTCAAGTTATTTTCCCATTTAATAGAAGTACACCCGAAACATGTAGTGTATTTCATGAAGATTTAATTCTGTTACTTACCTCTCTCCTGTTTTATGCCAAAGGGCCAGAATCTTTATTCGTTTGTTTGTTTGAGAGGCACAGAAATAGAAAGAGACCTCCCATCCATTTGTTTATTCTATAAATGCCTGCCACTGGGAAGTGGCAGTCAGGAACATCATCCAGGTCTCCCACATGGATGGCAGGAATTCAATTACTTCAGCCACCACCACTATCTTCCAGGATCTGCATTGACAGAGATGCAGGCATCAGAGCCACTACGCTAAACAGTTGCCTCCAAGCGTCAGAATCTTAACTGCTAAGATTAGTAACTAATCTTAATAGCTAATGGATGTCAATAAGACACTATTTCACTGTGAGTCTTATAAAAATGGGAACATGACTATTGAAGTTAACTGGACCTATACTCTATATTGAAGAATATGGCAAGTTTCTTGTGCAGCTTCATATAAACTGTACATATAAGATATATTAGTATATTCCCCTAAAATATTTCATTATATTTTTAACTCTTCATTGGAAAGATGGATTCTATTTCTATATGTCCATTGTGGTTCACTGTCCAGATAAATTGAGTTTAAGACATTTATTTCCTTCTTCCAAGGCACTTATTAACAGATTTTAATTATATACTCACCAAATATAAAATGTATTTATTAGTCTGTCTTTAATCTAACAGATATTTATGTAATTCCTCTGATGACTTGGATATTGTATCTCTTGATTTCTTCAGACTCAGGAGATTTTTTTTTTTTTTTTTGGCCAGGCAGAGTTAGAGAGAGACACAGAGAGAGAGTTATAGACAGTGAGAGAGAGAGGGAGAGAAAGGTCTTCCTTCCATTGGTTCACCCCCCAAATGGCCGCTACGGCTGGCGTGCTACAGTGATCCAAAGCCAGGAGCCAGGTACTTCCTCCTGGTCTCCCATGCAGGTGCAGGGCCCAAGCACTTGGGCCATCCCCCACTGCCCTCCTGGGCCATAGCAGAGAGCTGGACTGGAAGAGGAGCAACCGGGACTAGTACCCGGCGCCCCAACTGGGACTAGAACCTGGGGTGCCAGCGCCACAGGCAGAGGATTAGCCAAGTGAGCCACGGCGCTGGCCAAGATTTTTGTTTTTAAAGTATTAACTTATTTTTGTTTTATTTGAAAGAGAGAGACAGACAGAGATCTCCAATTGACTGGTTTACTCCCCAAATGCAGACAAAACTAGGGCTAGGCTAGGCCAAAGCCAGGATCATGGAACTTAATCCAATTTTCCTATGTAGGTGGCAGGGATCCAACCACTTTAGACTGCCCTGTGCCCTCCAGGATGTAGATTAGTCAGACGCTGGAATGGGAAGCATAGCCTAGGTCTGAACCCAGGCACACCATGTGGGATGTGGTTTTCCCAAGGGGTGACTTGATGCTGCACCAAACACCAGCCTCAGACTCAGTTGATTTCTACAGATGACTTTACACTCACTTGATAAACTCTAACCTATTGGTAGTCTGGTGTGATGCCTTGTTCTTTGGACTAGAATCATTGTATTCTCTCTGCAAGACCAATAGTCTTCTGCATGCTGTGGGAGCTTCACAAGGGTTTAAACGTCTTTAGGCAAGAAAGTAATTTCCTGTTCAGAACATAAAATGAAATCAGATCCACATGCTCAGTGCCATTGTACTTTCAATGTAATACATTAAATACTCCTAGCAACAGTAGTTCAAAGTCATTCCTATTTAATCATTTCATGCTCACTCTCTTCCAGTGGTTGTGAAAAGTTATTTAGCAAAATCCTAGTGAGATAATATTTTATGTAAGTGTAAAGCTTTTAATCCTTGTTGTTGTAACCAGAGGGCATTTAGTGGTGGGTACTGGGAAAGAAATAGGTAATGGATTTTGAGTAATCTGATGGAAGAAAGGAGCACAGAGGTAGGGGCAGTTGAAGAGGAAGTGGCCTAGAAAAGGGTTTGAAAATTTGAACTGAAAAAGACCCTATGAAAACCAACCTAGATGGAAAATGCTTACTTATTATTTCAATGTTCTTTTACAGTTAGATCATGGTAAGAATGATACTATAAAATTAGCTAACAGTTTTCTTATTTTTTAAAGATTTTATTTATTTACTTGAGTGGTAGAGTTAGAGAGAGAGAGTGAGAAGCAAGGAGAGAGGTCCTCCATCCACTGGTTCACTCTCCAGATAGCTGCAACAGCCAGAGCTGAGCCGATCTAAAGCCAGGAGCTAGGAGCTTCCTCTGGGTCTCCCACATGGGTGCAGAGACCCAAGTACCTGGGTCATCCTCTACTTCTCTCCCAGGCCATAGCAGAGAGCTAGATTGGAAGAGGAACAGCTGGGATAAGAACCAGTGCCCATATGGGATTCTGGCAATGGCAGGCAGAGGCTTAGACCACTATGCCATGGTGCTGATTCTCCATTTGCTGGTTCATTCCCCAAATTCCCACAACTAACACTTTTCTACTCATTTTTCTACTTCTTTCTTTCTTTCTCTCTTTCTTTCTTTTTTTTTTTTTTTTTTTTTGACAAGCAGAGTGGACAGTGAGAGAGAGAGAGAGAAAGGTCTTCCTTTACCATTGGTTCACCCTCCAATGGCCACCGCAGCCAGCGTGCTGAGGCCTGCGCACCGTGCCTATCCGAAGGCAGGAGCCAGGTGCTTCTCCTGGTCTCCCATGGAGTGCAGGACCCAAGCACTTGGGCCATCCTCGACTGCACTCCCTGGCCACAGCAGAGAGCTGGCCTGGAAGAGGGGCAACCGGGACAGAATCCGGCGCCCCGACCGGGACCTGAACCCAGTGTGCCGGCGCTGCAAGGCGGAGGATTAGCCTACTGAACCACGGCGCTGGCCTCTACTCATTTCTTAAATATTTTTCTTAGTTCAAGAAGCTTTTAGGAAATTTCTTTTTTTTAGGCTTAGGGTTAGGGTATTTTAGGAAAATTTCAACACAATCTATATTATGGCTAATTTCTGGTCTAATCTATTTATGGCGATAAATAGCTAATAAAGACTCTGCTGGAAAAACAGGCAGTTTGTGACCAAATGGAGTAGCAGTCAATGAGTGTGAAGCCATTAATTGAGAGAGAGAAATTCTCCATTTGCTGGTTCATTCCCCAAATTCTCACAACAACCAGCATACCCACAATAGCCAGAGCTGGGTTAGACCAAAACCAGATGTTCAGAAGTCAATTTGAGTCTCACACATGGGTAAAAGTCACCAAAGTACTAGAGCCATTATGTGCTGCCTCCAAGGGTGCACATTAGCAGGAAGCTGGATTAGAAACAGAGTAGATGAGAACCAGACACTCCAATATGGGATGCAAGTGTCCTAAGCAGTGGTTTAACCTCTGTACCAAACACCCACTCTTGAGAGATGATCTTGAAAAACTTATGAGACTAAGGAAAAGGTCATGACAAATAGTGGGCTCCAAAGATTGAAAATGATTTATATGTGAAAAGGATTTACTATATTTTATTGCATAGCTCTCAAAGATATTGTTACAGGTAAAATGGTGGCGAGGAAAGGAGACCTTAGTCCTTGTCTCACATGGAAAAAGAATTTTCATGTGAACAAAGCAGTGAGCAAAGCAGGATTTATTTAAGTCAGAAACCTGTCATAGCAGCCAGGAGTGGGGCTCCAAGAGAGGCAGACCCAAGAAACTGTAATGGTCCTGTCTTTTCAACACAACTTTGGTGGGGGGAGGTATGCAAAACCCATGAAAAGGCTGGAGTTATAATTTTGTTTACCTTGCTCACCATAAAACAAAATGCCATCGGAATGGTGTGATTGGTAACTTCTCCTTTCTATTCTCTTGATAAATTACAAACTCAGAAGGGTAGAATTACTGCTTCCTTGGTAGTCTCATGAGAAACCTGGAAACAGAGGAGTGAGATCAGCACTTTTATCTTGCTAAAGGCAGATTTTGGGGAGAAGTATGCATTTTGCACCCTTATAAAGAGACTTCCCCTTTCCTCATTCTGACCAGGACCCAACCTAACTGCCTATTTGTCCACCTATCTCCCCATAATATCATATATAGGCTTGAGACAATGTATATATGTCTCTCTCTCTCTCTCTCTCTTTTTTTTTTTTTTTTTTTTTTGCCTTATACTCCAGCCACACTTTCTTCTGGAATAAACTCTGAACACATACATTTACATTTTGTTCCTTTACTCATTCTGGGAGAGGTTAGCTCCCCTTTTCCACAAATCTAAGTATTTCTCATTCTTTAAGAATCAGTTTAAATACTACTTTCTCATTATCTGAACTAAGTACCCTTCTTCTACATACCTTTTTCACTGGTGTGAAAAGTTATTCTCTTGTTATTAGCCTTTATGCCATTCTGCCTTTCATTTTGTTTTCTGCTAAGTTTGTTTTCTCCAACACCTCGAACTTAACTTTGTGTATTCACAGAACCTAAGAGATGGCCCCATAGTTAACAAGAATTCAGTGCTATTTGCTCAGTCCAGATTAAGTTGTAGGATATAGCTTGGAATATTAGAAGATAAGCTAAAATGTCTATATATTGGGACCAGCGCTATGGTACAGCAGGTTAAAGCCCCTGCCTGAAGTGCTGGCATCCCATATGGGTGCTGATTCAAGTCCCAGCTGCTCCTCTTCCAATCCAGCTTTCTGCTATGGTCTAGGAAAGCAGTGGAAGATGGCTCAAGTGCTTGGGCCCCTGCACCTACATGGGAGATCTGGAAGAAGCTACTGGCTCGTGACTTCGGACTGGCCCAGCTCCAGCCATTGTGGCCATTTGGGGAGTGAATCAGAGGATAGAAAGCCTTTCTCTCTGCTCTCTCTCTCTCTCTGTCTGTAACTCTGCCTCTTAAATAAATAAATAAATCTTTTTTAAAATAGTCTGTATATCATTAAATTATTTAGTTAGTTCAGGTTCCACTCACAATTTTTCTTCCTGTTTTTCATTCTAGGAATAAAAATGGTTGTTCCTGTTGACACTATAAGATGGTTGAGAGGGTCACATGAGGTAAGACAGGTGGAAGTGTATTTTAAGGTGCAGAACATTATGTAGAGAAAGAATGTGTTTTTTGTGAAGTGAATTGTAACTTGACCATGTCTCACAATAGTTTCCTTCCACAACTATGCAAGCTTTTGTTTACCCTTCCATGATGGTTACTTTTTAAAAGCTGCAAATTCTTTGACACTTTTCCCATGAAGTCTGATTCTGCCCTGCTTCACAGCCCCACCCATCAACCCCTGTTGGAATTTTGATTTGCCTTATAATTTTCTCGTAATTTGTAGACTGCACAGAGCTGACACTATGTGTAGTAAAAGCCACAAAGCTTACATAGGGCCTTCTGGTATTATCAGTCTCAGGATACTTCCTCTCAAACCTGGCCTCCTAGCTGTGTTAAGTCCAAGTCACTGGGAGAAACCACAAAGAAGTACTTCAGTAGACAGGCCCAGCTGTCACTCAGCCATCCTAGCCTAAGTGTAAGGCGTGTGTGTGAAGAAGCCCTCAAATGCTGCCACCTCAGCTTTATGAATCATTTCAACCAGGGCCCCTGCCCTTGTGGGACAGAAGAAAAGCTTACCCCACTTTGGCCTTTCTGAATTCTTGACCCACAAAATCCATGAGCATACTAGACTTTTGTTATTTAATCCACTAAGACCTGGACTTGTTTATTGCACTCAATAGACAATGGGGAAACCTTCTCCCATACATCCTATCAATTTTACCTTACCATTTACCATTTACTACTCAGAACAGGCCATGTAACACTGGGTTAAAAAAAAAAAAAGAAAGAAAGAAAGAAAAACCAACTACTTAATAATGTCAATAGCTTTAAATAATGCGGAAGCATTCCTTACTCACATTCCACATCCTTTGTGTGTCCACAGGAAAGCTCAACGCGTTATATTTACTCAGGGCCCCAACATAAGGGACATTGCCAATAACTGAGTTAGAATGCAAACAGAACTCTGGAAGGTCTTGCACAAGCAGTCAAATGTAAGCCTGGAAATGACACAGTTCACTTCTGGTTATAGTTCATTAGCCCAAACTATTCACATGACCCCTCCTACTCAAAAAGATACCAGAAGTATTATCACTATCTTATACTCAAGAGGAAGAGAGCCAGAAAGCCATAGTAAACAGAGCTAGTGACAACCATACAAGCTCTTTCAAAGGCATTGTCTGCCTGGACTTCTCAGCCAAACCCCCGACCCTGGCCCCTGGCTCTGGCTTCCTTCCTACATCAACTTCATTAGCAGTGTCTACTTTCTAAGGCCAGTAGCATTTTTATTGCCCCATTTCACCATTTGTGAACTATGTCTGTATCTAGTCTTCCTGCATATGCTTCCTGCACATTATCTGCATATAAAACAGTGGCTGCAGTGGTCTCCATGACAACCAAGACTATCTAGGGCTTTTGCTAAATCCCTAATCATGGGTTGATATTTCTCCCCTCTCTTTCTGTTTCTTCTTTATTAGAGTAAAAATCAGGCTTTTATAGAGGGTTCATCTTACCTCCTTCACCTCAAATAGGAAGTATAGCATGGACTCACCTAAAATGAGTACTCATATGAGTTATCAATTAAATATCTTTATAAAGAATAAAATTAGGAATGGAAATGAAGAAAAGTATAAGAAGGAAGAAAGATTTTTTTAAAAGAGAAAGCAGAGAAAGTCTTAAAACAATAAAAGAGGATAAATAAAGCAGAGAATAGACTGGTGAATGTTTTGGGGCAAATTCTTGGCTAGATATTAAATTCTAATTACTCACTTTTTAACATTTTGAAAGTTGAGGTGTTGCATATAAAATAAGAATTATAAAATTTATCATATCTAACAAGGTAGTCAGAAGGATAAATTAACTAGTCTATGTAAAAATGCATTAAAATAGGCAGTGCCATTTGATTTCAAAGTATTAGTGCTACATCTATTTCTTTATTTTGGGGAGGTTGTTTGTTTTTTAAATTTAAGCTCCTACATATAAGGGAGAACATGCTGTATTTGTCTCTCTGGATCCAGCTTATTTTACTCAGCATGATGTCTTCCAGTTTGTGTTTCTGTCCATTTTGCTGCAAATGGTAGCATTTCATTCATTTTACAGCTGAATAATATTCCATTGTGTATATATACCACATTTTCTTTATCCATTCATCTGATGATGGACATGTTGGTTGGTTCCAAACTTTGGCGCTTGTGAACAGTGCTGCTATAAACATGGTGGTGCGTGCATTTACCTCTTTCATGCACTGTGTTTAAATCTTTTGCGTATATATCCAGTAGTGGGATTGCTGGATTATATGGCAAGTCTATTTCTAGTTGTTTAAGACATCTCCACGCTGTTTTCCACAGTAGCTGCACTCATTTACATTCACACCAACAGTGTATTGAGTGCTTCCCTTTCTCCGCATCCTTGCCAGCACTTGTTACTTTCTGTGTGTTGGATTTTAGCTATTCTGACAGGGGTGAGGTGGTTTTGATTTCCAATTTCCTGATGATGTGATAGTGCTACCCAGGAAGATGGGATTGAGCGTAGAACAATTTTAAATAAATGTAAGAGTGCTGCCTATTGTTAAAGAGTCCCTGGTGACTTTAGAAGGTTTATAAACAGTTTTAGAAATCATCAATGTAAAATATGGCTTAATTCAGATGTTTAAGACTTCTGGGTACACAAGTAAAAGACAAGCATAATTAATACCATGGAATGTAATAACTCTCAAATCCAGAAGCTCCTCTGATGCATGCCTTTGAACCTTACCAGTGACCCAAATACCATCCAGTAGCCTTCCACTGAATACTCCCTGAGGTTTTAGTAGAATTATATTGGGAGGAGAGACAGCTTTTGGATGCCTGCATGCCTTATCAGAGTGCCTGGGTTCGAGTCCTGGTTCTACACTCAATCCCATCTTCCTGCTAATACACACATTGGGAGACAGCAGCTTATGGCTCAAGTGCTTGGGTCCCTGCCACTCAAATAGATGACCCAAATTGAGTTCATGGCTCCATGCTTTGTCTTGGCCCAGTCCTGGCTGTTTTGCACATTTGGGTATTGACCCAGTAGACAGGAGTTCTTTTCAGACTGGTGTGTGTGTGTGTGTGTGTGTGTGCCTTTCAACTAAATAAAACAAAGAAGTAAAAATTTAAAGCTGTCCTTATGGATATACTGTCAGCATCTCAAAATCAAGACAACTTAATACACAATTCCAAAGACAAGTTTTGTCCTCTCTGCTATTTCTGTCAGTATTATCAATGTTTGTTAATTACTCAAACTAAAACGTGGCATTCCTATGAACTACCCCCTCTCCCTTCCATTTTTCCAATTCCACCCACAATACACTAAATTCTATAGATTAATTTTTTAATATCTTTCTTACCATTCCATTTCTACAGCCCTTTTCCTCATGTTTATATTCCCATGTTAGCCCCTGCAACAGTTCACTTTGCCTCACGTCTCTCTCCATGAATTCTGTTCTCAGATAGATCGATTAAAGCACTATTTCAATCATCACATTCTCTATAAATTCAAGTCAAAACCTTTTGGCCTCATGATCTGACCCCAGACAAATTTTACACTACTCCTTTGTAAGAAATGTAGCTGAGTGTATCTATTCACTGTTTCTTGAGCATGCCTTTCTCTCTTTTGCGTTTTCATATCATTCCATGAAACTACAATATCCCCATCTGTACTCATAAAATCCTGTTGATCATTTAGAGCTCCAGTCAAATACTACTTCCTTTGGATTTCTCAGAGTATAGAACAAAGTGTTTACACATATAAAGAAGATCAAAAGTATTGATTAAATGAGTGAAAAAGAGAAAGTTAAACATGGAGCATATCTAACAAAAGGTATCATATAAATCGTAGAAATGAGCAATTTATAAAGCTTAAGTTGACATTTTTATATGCCTACTATATAAAGTGATATAAATATTAGTTGTCAGGGGCTGTATTCAATTATTTACATTCTAAAAAGTAGAACTCAAGCAAAAAGGGATTTTGTTTGGAGATCCTGTCTTAATTAAAGAATATTTGCAGGACCTCTAACCTTCAACACTGGAGAAAAAGAGGAGTAAATTATTTCCAAATTTTTTACATTACCTATTATAACTATGCTTCATAGTGAAAATAGAAAAGAATCCATGGTGCCTATTTTGTGTGAAATGGTTAATTGAATTATATGACTTATGATGGACTTGAGAACTACTGCAAATTTCAACAAAACAAAAAAGCACTTGGAGCATTAGAAATTAAAAATAAATAATTATTTCTGTTCAGTCCTTAAACTCCTTTCCTGAGTCATACCAAAATGTTCAGTGTAGAGCCAAAAAAAAAAAAAAAGTCCTGTAGCAACTTAAGATGAAAGTATCATATGCCATTTTCAGTTGTGCTATTATTTCTTAACTATTTGGGGGTTGTGTTTATAAAAACAATTATCTCATGCAAAAAATTTTTTACAACAACTGTCCTCTTGAGGATTTTTTTGGGGAATATTCACTTTGGAAGGTACAGAGCAGGATGGAGTCTTAGAGTTCATTTTCATTCGGGGTGGTTAATGCATGAATTTCTGTTCATCCCTGAAAAAAAGCCACGCAGTCCCCGAACATTTCCACATAAGCTGCCTGTTAAGGTAGTTGATTCCATTTTCAAATAGCAGCCATTGTCAGAAAATTATTTATTTGACAGCATTCTACCTCTGCTCTTTAGAGTCCCGGACAATGGACCTGATGTCTATTAATATTATAGCCCTTAGCTTCTGAAGACAGCTGTCACAGAAAATCTGTCTTGAGTTAGGGGCTTACTTTTAGCCTAGCTTTAAAGGACATAACTATTTCAAAGTCTTAGGCAATATCCAGAACCATATGATATTTTAAATGTTTAATTATTAACTTTATTTATTTGTAAGGTAGAGCAACTGAGACAGAGAGACAGAAAAAGCAAGATATTCCATTTGTTTACTTCACAACAACTAGGGCTGGACAAGGTCAAAGCTGAGAGACAGGAACTTCATCCTGGTCTTTCAAATAGGTGACAGGTACTCAAGTACCTGGGTCATTGCCTACTACCTCTCGTGTGCATCATCAAGAAGCTAGATCAGAAGGTAGAGATGGGAATCGATTCCAGGCACTCTGACAGGGGATGCAAATATTCCAAGCAGAGGCTTATCCCATTGCACAACAATACCTGCTTGCTGGCACTGTATGATTTAATAATGCTTCTCTGGGTGATTCATCTGATTCTTCTCAGTTTCCTATCTTGCTATGTACTACCACCAGTCACCTGCTTCTGCATTTTTTCTAGACAAATCTACAGCAGTCTTCCCTTATCCATGGGGATATGTGCTAAGACCCCAGTAGATGCCAGAAACTTTAGTTAGCACCAAACTCTCTATATAAAATGCCATGTTTTTCCTACTCACACATACCTATGATAGCAATTAATTTATAAAAATAGGCACATTAAGAGATTAGCAGCAATAACTAATAGTAAAAATTGAATGATTGTATTAATGTAATATAAGTAACACTATATACAGAATATACTGTGTGTGTGGGTAGGTGTGTGTGTCTCCTATCTCTCATTATTTTACTATATTGTACTCACCTATATTCTTCATGTGATGAGGTTGAATGATACAATGACACAATTGACTACAGATAACTGAAACCATGGAAAGCAACCTGCAGATGAAGGGAACTACTGCAATATGATTTGTTCCTAACACAGGAAACCAATGAACCTCCCAGTATATGAACTCCATACATGTCAAACCTCATTAACATAGTTACAGATTCCATCTTGCTGCTATCCTGAGTTTTTTCACTCTTACAGAAGGGCTCATCTCTGGCTAGTTGTTTTGAGTTCTGTTCTTCTCATACCTGAATACAATTTGCTATCCTTCCTCTGTTCCATGTGTCTACCTATATGCTTGAATAATGTGAAAGAATTGTACCCCAGAGTACTAATGTGTATATTGTCTGAGTATTTTTTCTCCTTCTGCTTTCTCAAAAGTACCCTCAGGGCACTTTTCCCAACCCCTAGTTCCTACCAGTCAAAGACCCAATGAATGAAGTCATTAGCTACAGTTTGAGAGACACAGATTTGGAAGTTGGTTTGAAGGCTGAATTTTTCTGCTCCTAGCAACAAAATGACTCAGAGGCCATGGAAAGAGAAGGATCTAATGGGGAAGATAGATAAGAAACTCAGACTAAGGAGAAAGGAGTGGAGAAACCTGAACCTTCAAAGTGTGAGTAACGTCTGTGAAAAAGTGGGAGAGGGAAGTTGAAATGGGCCAGGAATGAGCATGAGAAAACCCTACCAAAAAGAGAATGCAAAATCATTGTCTAGCTGCAAGGGTCATAAAAGTACCTAAAATCACCAACCAAGGCTCTGAAAAGGGCAACTATGTATCTTCCTTTAAGTGTTGGAAGAATATGCATTTATACCTGTTTCATTAATGTATACCTCTCTCTACCTTAGACTAGAGTTTCATGAGGACTGAATCATGCTTATTTGTACTTACTGTATCTGGGAACCTAGAACAATGCCTGGAATGTAGTAGGCATTCAATAAATGTTTGGTGAATGAATGAATTATGGAAATAAATGTTAGTGCATAGAGATTATAAATTAGTTGAGAATAAATAATTAGTGATATGTGTATGCTTAAGTTAACTATTAGGTTATCTGGTATGTAGTTTATAATACAGTTTAGATTTCCCTGAAGTAGTTATTTCATTAAGTAACCTACTTAAGTATTGTAAAACAAACATATTTGAAGTAGATAGAAGCACTCACCCACCTGGAGGCCACCAGCATAGGGTTCAGTAAAAGTCAGCTACACCATTGACATCCTGGCGAGAATAACTGCACACATGGTATCTAAGCATGGGCTATGCCAAGTTTGGCTAAGCCAAGTGTTACATAATAAGCTAGAGTCATCCAAATGGACTGTCCCCAAACCATCATCCCTGGATTCTGCTTCAAAGCTCATCTGTAGACTGTCTCAAGGATACTTTTTTTTAAATTTTTAATATTTGCAACCCATTAAATATTGAAAATAATAGAACAAAGAATATCTCCAAGAATTTGATTCCATTTAAATTTTTGCTGTTTGAAGCCTTAATCAAGTGATTATGTGCAAATTCTTTCTTTGAATGGAACTAATTGTAAAAGGAGTTGTTGGACTCCTTATGTGAAAGCCAGAAATACCTCCCTTGACCTTAATGTCTAGCTAACCAGACCATTTTATTTTTCTTCTCTGTTTGACAAAGGTCTCAAAACTGGACTAGATCTCCTGGAAGCTCAGAATTGGTATAAATTTTTGTAAGAAAGATAAAAGAACTTCAAAGCAGTTGTTTTGTTCTAAGGAAGCAACTATCAGTACCATTTTCTACATTAGCTATGTAGTACAGGCATCTTTTCATAATCTCTCTTTAATGAAAAGTGGGTTTTTTGGTGTGTTTTTTGGGCATGTGTGTGTGTGTATGTATGTATGTTTGTGTGTGCTTTGTATTGTTTTGTTTAGGTCTGAAACAGGAAGAAATAAACAAGAATAGTGTTCTTCCCTTCCTCCTTCACAATCCTACTTACTACCTTTGGCTCAAAACCTTTCCATATTCAACGTCTATAGAACATTGTAATTTGTGAAGAAGAGAGAAGAAATTGGTAAGGAGAAACAGGAAGTCATATTGGAAGAGCTAGTGACTGAGTTTTCTGGAGGGTTCACAGACGCTCAGCAAGAAGAGAACAGAGTGCAGGCCATCATGTTTCTCCTGTTCCTTTACTGTTTCCATTAAATATCACTACCTTTAGGTTCTTCAAAACCCACTCATTGATTTGGTATCTGTTCAAAAACCCCCGTCCATGCTGTGATCAGAAACCACAAGTTTAATTTCCATTTACTTATTTTTAAAGTTACTTAATTTTATATAATGAATGAAAACACTTTCTCTCAAATCAATACTATAAATTGAAACTTGATATTTCAAATGTGTTATTTTTCTATTTTCAAAAGCTCATAAAATATGAAGATTAGGAAACAATTCCAAAATATCAGTAAATTATGCTCTGTATGTCTGTTTGAAACATTTTTAAGCCACTAATAAATTTAGGAGTTTAGATTTATATATCATTTACTTAGGTACATAAAGTATAATTGATCTCATTTTAGAAATTCATTCTATTTTGGTGTTTTCCTAGACCTGAAGACAAAGTTAGTTTTTTGTGATTTATTTATTTTACTTGAAAGTCAGACTTAGAAAGATGAGAAAGAGAGAGAGAGAGAGAATCTTCCATCTACTGGTTCACTCCCCAAATGCCTGCAATGGCTAGTGCTTGCCAGGCCAAAGCCAGGAGTCAGGAGCTTCATGCGGGTCTCCTACGTGGTGCAGAGACACAAGCACTTGGGCCCTCTTCTGCTGCTTTCCCACAGCATTAGCAAGGAGCTGGATTGAAAGTTGAGCTGCCAGTACTCAAACTGGCACCCATATGGGATGCAGGCATTACAGACAGTGGATTAACCCACTGCACCACAAAGCCAACCTGACGTAAAGTTCTTCATCTAAACACACATTTTTATGCCTACTCTTTAATTTGATAAATTCTTCACCAAGATTATGAAGTACTGATGGATGCTGTAACGTTTTCTGTCTCTCCTCCTCTCTCTTAACACTTTCAAATAAATCTTTAAAAAACAGAAAAGAAGCTTATTACCATAAGTGACCCCTCAATATCTCAGTCTCTCAACCTCAAGCCAAAACCCTGAGTCAAAATGATTTATCCAACCTGTGGGATTTTTTGTTGTTGTTGTTATAATGGTTAATTTTGTTGTTTCAACTTGACTAGATTAAGAGTAGACAGTTGATCTAATTGTAGTAGCTATGAAGTGAGTCTGCTGGGAAATCTTTGAGTCATTTAAGGTTGTGCCCTTGAAGTATGGTCCTTGCATAAAAGTGTTGATTATTTCAATTTGAAGTGCCACCTATTTGTCCCTCTGCTTCCTGGCTCACCATGTGATTGTCACTCCACACCTGCCAGCTTCCACAGATTCTGGTCTATTGGGCCACTTGATCTTGACTTGTAACCTCTGCATTGTAAGCAGAAATAAATCTTTTCATTTCCAAGATATTCCTCTTGGGTATTTTTTAAAAGTACCAAAATCAGACTAATACAGTGTTATTAACAATAGAAAACAGACCAAGTCAACACCTTTGTGTAATTCCCTTTCCTTTATTCACAGGTGAGACCTGTAGCTTACTTCTAACCAACACAATATGGCAAAGATGATGGAAAGGCACTATAGCATCTCTCCTTACTTGATTGATGAAGTATGAGGCTATGTTGAAAAAGCTCAAATGCCAAAGAGCTATAGCTGGCCTCAAAGATCAGGGGAAAGACTCAACTCTAGGAGCCAAAGGCAGCTGCCAACCCAACAATAAGTCATGGCCCGAATCCAATAATCTGGGTAAGCTTAAAAATAGACTCCTTGAGGGGCCAGCACTGTGGTGTAGTGGGTTAACGCCCTGGCCTGAAGTGCTGGCATCCCATGTGGGCACCGGTTCAAGACCCGGCTGCTCCTCTTCCAGTCCAGCTCTCTGCTGTGGCCTGGGAAAGCAGTGGAAGATGGACCAAGTCCTTGGGCCCCTGCACCTGTGTGGGAGGCCAGGGAAAGCTCCTGGCTCCTGGCTTCGGATCAGCGCAGCTCCGGCCGTTGTGGCCAATTGGGGAGTGAACCAGCGGATGGAAGATTCTCTCTCTCTCTCTCTCTCTCTCTCTGCCTCTCCTCTCTGTGTAACTCTTTCAAATAAATAAATACAATCTTAAAATCTTAAAAAAAAAATAGACTCCTTGATAGTTAAACCTCAACTGTCACACATTCATACTGGCACCTCTACAATTTCAGTTTCTCCATGAAGAGATTGAATCTCAATCCCAAACTCTAATTCTGAGAAGTTAGCTCCAGAGACTTGCTACATCTTCATTGATTTTACTTAAATTTCTAGTATTGTTCTTTGTAAAACAAATGTCTCTTTTGCAAAAAATATGTATTCTAATTAGTCCAAATAATTTTTGAAGGATCATTAAAAATGTGAATATTCTACTTTGAATTACTCTATTTGGATCTTGTTTTAACTTTTAATCCTGTTTATTTTTGAGATACAAGTGGGCTGTCATTTTCTCTATAAAACCTCACTCCTCATATATCTAAACTTTCTGGAGTCCTTGTTTATATTATATGTTTATCTTGAAAAACAGTTCTCAATATGTTATTTGTAGGTTATTTTTATTCTAAAGAAAATGATGAATTTAAGGCAAGGAGTTTGAAATGAAGATGTGAAGACCTCTTTGAAGAAAATGTTGTATTCTCAGCTTACAGAATATCATCCTATCAAGCTAATTTTTTCTAAGCAATATTGCTAGAAAAATTTGAAAAATAACTTAGATGAAGGGAGTTGTGATTACTGAAAGTAATAATACTTTTTTTTTTTTTTACTTAAGGAAAATATTGGGACCAGTGTTGTGGCATAGCAGGTTAAGCTGCTGCCTGTGGCAGTGGCATTGAATATCAGAGTGTCTGTTGGAGTCCTAGATGTACCACTTCTAATCCAGCTCATTGCTAATGTGCCTCAGAAAGCGGTGGAAGATGGCCCAGGTATTTGGGTGCCTACAACCCAGGTAAGAGACCCTGATGGATCTCCAGGCTTCTGGTTTGGCCCTGGGCCAGCCCTGATTGTTGCAGGCATTTGGGAAGTGAACCTGTTGATTCTCTCTTTTTCTCTCTCTCTCTATTGTTCTATCTCTGTCACTCTGCCTTTCAAAGAAATTAAGAGATGTTTTCAGGCCGGCGCTGTGGCTCACTTGGTTAATCCTCTGCCTTGCAGCGCCGGCATCCCATTTGGGCGTCGGGTTCTAGTCCCGGTTGCTCCTCTTCCAGTCCAGCTTTCTGCTGTGGCCAGGGAGGGCAGTTGAGGATGGCCCAAGTGCTTGGGCCTCTGCACCCACATGGAGACTGGGAGGAAGCACCCGGCTGCTGGCTTCGGATCGGCGCAGCGCCAGCTGTAGTGGCCATTTGAGGAGTGAACCAATGGAAGGAAGACCTTTCTCTCTGTCTCTCTCTCTCTCTCACTATCTATAACTCTACCTGTCAAATAAAAAAAAAAAAAAGAGATGTTTTCCTAAATGGTTCATATCCTAAGATGGAGTCTAAACAAAATAAATTTTATTATAGATATGGACAGTACTATACTCACCAGAGAAATTGGGTACTTTTTAGCTCCATGAATAGCTTTATTCATAAATTTATAATCTAGAGATGGCAAAGAATAAATCACATTAAGATGTGTATTTTTGACAGCATTAACATCCACCAAATACAAGGAATGGTGCAGACACTTGCCTAGTGGTTAAGATGCCAGTTAGACTGCTCAAATTTCAAACTGGTGTGCTTGGGTTTGATTCTCAGCTCCTGCCTCCAGCTTCCTGCAATATGGTCTCTAGGAGACAGCTGAGAGCTCAAGTAGCAGGAGACCTGGATTGAGTTCTTGGCTCCTGGCTTCAACCTGGCCCAATCATGGCCATTGTGGGCCTTTGAGTAATGAACCAACAGATGGGAGCTCTCACTCTCTGTCTCTCTCTCTCCCTCCCTCTCTCCCTCTCTCTGTATCTTTTCTCTCTGCCTTTCAAATTAATAAAAAATTTTAAAAATTCAGAGAGGTGCCAGCACTGTGGCACAGTAGTTTAAGCTGCAGCTTGAGATGCAGCCTACCATATTGGAGTGCCTATTCCTGTCCTAGATGCTCTGCTTCTATTCAGCTTCTTGCAAACGTGCCTGGGAAGGATGGATTCCTGGCCCCTGGTTTCAGTCTGGCCAGACTTAGCTGTTTATAGCCATTTGGGGGACTGAATCAGTGGCAGGAAGATCTCTCTCTCTCTCTATTAAATAAATAGTGTTTTAAAGAATTAAGAGGATTGTATTTCTTTGACATGATAGTGTCAACAGAGTATCTGTGCCTATGCTATCAATCCATTGGCTAATAAGCAAAGAAACTGCTGAGGGCATTTTAACATATTAGAGTTTAACTTCCAGTTGTATATAATGATCAGTGATATTTTCACTGCTTTGGGCAGTACAACTTTAGAGCACAAACATTTTGACCTCCAACTTCCATCTCTCCATAGTGTGTGTGAGAAGACTGCAGCAACATGTCAGCAGTCGGTGTCTCTTTTCTCTTCCTACTTTCTGGATGGCAACTTTAATCAAGTAGTTTCTCCTCCTCCTTTTGTATGCTCTCTGTTCAGTAATATTTGACTTCTGATTATCTCAGCCCTCCTACTGATTCCATTAAAGAGTAAGCCAGGAGCAGACTCTCTCTGACTCAAGTTTTTGGTTTCTCCTTTGTTTTTCCTGGCAGATACAGTTCCCTTATTATATGTAACACCTACGGTAATTGCTGTTGCTTCAAAAAAAAATCTGTAAGCTCTTTCTTGAATGTTATTAAGACACGTAGAAGGAAAAGAGCTCACAAAATAGAGATATTACTTTTATTTACATTCCAGTATTCTGTGAGGGGGAAAAAGCAGAAAGCCTTTCACCCTTGTGCCTCATTAATTCTGACAACACCTCAAGAGGCAAGGAAGTGATGAGAACCATTATTCTTGTTACGGTGGAGAAAACACTGAAAAACCCAGAAAGGTTATATATCTTGTTGAAGGTGACACACAGTTATTGGGAGCCTGGAGTTTTCTGACTCTGGCAGTTCAACCTTTCTCAACTCTTCTAATGGGTTTGTGATGTCGGCATTACTTTTAATTGCCACAGGCAGTTAATTCTGTGACCAAAAATATGGGCTATCCAAACCCCCCCAAAAATCACAGACAACCTTAGAGAAACCTCTGGATGTCCAAACTTACCAATATCAAGTTTTGTACTTCCAAGCAAACATTCAACCATGAACTATGAAAGACATCTTGATATAACGGAATGGGAACTACTAAGGACTGGATTACTCAGAATTTATGTCCTCTTTCTGGTGCACTATAATTCAAAGGCTAGAAACCTGAAAGCTACATTTCCTCAGACTGCTTGGTTAGGGTTCCGAGTGTAGATGAGGTAGTGACAATAAGCAGTACTTAGATAAATTTTGAAAAACACTGATGAGAAGGAGGCAAACTCTAGGTTGCATAGTTTGTTGTTGCTAATAAATAGGGTGATGGAGCTATTTAGTGCTTTTTGCAGCAAAATTTAACATCCCTGATGTGGAGAGGTAGTTGGGCTGGGTTTGGCAGTCCAGTTCTGCCCTAAAGTGTCTGGTGCAAGGCATTGAATCCTAGCAGCAGCCATAGTTGTTACTTTCTGAACCATGGACTCATTCATATAAATGCTTCTGTTTCCTGCTGATGAGACTTAAATGATACAGCTGTGAAGAGTACAGATGTAAGAATGGCCAGTTTTGTGACACAGCAGGATAAGCCATCACTTGCAACTCTGGCATCCCATATCAGAGAGCTGGTTTGAGTCCCAGCTATACTGCTTGTGATTCAGCTTATGTTACCTGTGTGAAAGACCATATGAAGCTCCTGGCTCCTGGCTTCAGCCTGCCTCAGCCTGGGCTATTGCAATCATTTGGGGAGTGAATCAGAAAATGGAATATCTCTCTCTTTCCCTTTCTGTTGGTCCTTCTGCCTTGTAAGCAAATAAATAAATCTTTAAAAAGAATGGCCAAGGATTAGAATACATCTGTATTCTACCGCTTTTATCCACTTTTTAGCATTATCAAGTTAACTTCCCTGGTAAGGAGGAGTGTGAGGCTTAGATTCCTGCTCTGTAAAATATGTATAATAATACTTAGTTTAAAGGATTATCATGAGCATTATAATTAATATAAATTGAAGCATGAAGCACAGTCCCTCAGATCAGATGCCCACTCCATCTAGACCAAAAGCTCCATGAGGGCAGAAACAATGTCTACTTTGCTTACCACTCTAAATTTGGTAAGAGCTCATTAAACATCTGTTCAGTGAATGAACAATCTCATCAGATATGGAGAGAGGACAGAGGCCATATGCAAATATGGCTGTCTGGAATCTGCCCACTTTGTAGGCGAAACTCATAAAGGTAAAGCCATCAGGAATCATGAGAGGATTCCCTCCTTCTCTGTGCCTCATTCTTTTCTCTGTGCAGACTGGACTCCTGGACTCCCCAGGAGATGGGGCAGAATTTGGTTTCCAACAGCTTCTCAGTTACGTGCTATCCCTCCAATCACATGGATACCAAGTCCCGCTTTAGCCCTCACTTCCAAACTCCCAGATAAGAAGCTTGAACTTGCCTTGCTGGGATCTAGATCCTGCCACACTGAACTGTAAAGTCCCACAAGAGCAGCAGCCATACATGTTTGATCTGTTAGACCATGTACGTAGCAGATATTCAACAAATTTTATTGTATGAAGGAATGATCCAACCAACAGTAGTCATGGAAGTAGGGCATGTACAAACACAGCTACTGGGAGTCAACCCTGGTGGACTGAGTCTGGAATACAGTGAAGACTGGACTTGCACTCCAAAATGTGCTGATTATATCTACTTCATAACTTGGTTCCTATTTCCTCCTCATTTCCAAGTACTCTTTCTCTTACTCCCCACACTCACCTAGAGTAGCACACTGTCTGCTGCCTTATAAAAATGAATATCTTCTCATAACCAAGGTTTCCAGTGTCTCTTTGGCTTGTGAGGCACTTCCACTGGCCATTTAATGTGGTAGCATATTCTCATCTTTTAACAGTAAGTTCAAATATCATCAGCTCATCTAATCATACTACTGTAAATGGCCCTCCCCCACCTACATTGCCTCTTGCCATGCTATTTATTTCCTTTGAGAGTAGCACTTAACCATAATCTAACAATATCCTGTGCATAAATTTGCATTTGTTGTTTCTTCTGACTAGTTCATAAGGTAAAGATGATAACAATCTCAGTTGTCTTGGTCACAGCTCTCACTCCAGTGTCCAAAACAGTACACATTTGTTTAATCAACTTGAGATGACACCAAGTCTTCCCATGACATCTCACGCTGAAATAATCACATTAGGGAGGAGGAAAAACTTGAGAATAAAATACGAAAACCTGAATTCAGAGTTCTTCCATTTAATAGCCAAGAATTTTCCATTAAAGCTAGTAACTTCCTGTTTCCTCATTATAAAATGGCAAAAGGATACTTATGCTAACTAAATTTTCCATGGAATTATTTCAGTATCCAACAAAATATTACAAGAACTCATTTTGTGATTAGAAAATAGAATACTAGTGTTTCTTAAAGTAGATATATGAATAGCATAGTAAGATTATTTGCTTACTCACAACTAATAATAATCATTACTGTTTCCCTAAATTGACCCCCAAACCTATCTCAAGTTAATAGGACTGTATGTTATCCAATATCCATAAGAAGAATACTTAAATATTTTTCCAAAAATTTTTTAAAAAGTCATAGCACTGAAAAATAATGAGACTGCCTAACAATTGCTGCAAAAATTATTTCCAAAGGAGCTATCAAGAGCTCAATATACTGGGGGCCAGTGTTGTGGCATGGTGAGCAAACATGCCACCTGCAAAACCAGCATGCCAAATGGGCACTAGTTTGTATATCAGCTGCTGCACTTCCAATTCAGCTTCCTGCTAA